TTTTGATTTTTAGTAACTTCTACACTGTTTTCTATACTGACTATAACATTTTACATTCCCACCAACTGTGTACAAGGGTTGCAATTTCATTTCCCTAATGATTTTGAACATAGTTTCATATACCTATTTGCCATGCAAATGTCTTTTTTGGAGAAGTGTCCTTTTGAGCCCTTTGCTTATTTTTATTTTTCAGTGCAATGACTAAACTCAGGGCCTGGTGCGTGCTAGGCAAGTATTCTACCATCAAGCTACGGCCCAGCCTCGCTTATTTTAATTCAGTTTTTATTGTTAAAATTTTGTTATTTATTGAGCTGAAGAAATTTCTAATATGTTTTAGATACTAACATTTTATTAAATATATTCAAATATATTTTCTTCTTTTTGTGGTTTCCCTTTGATTTTGTTGATAGTTTGCTAAGCAGAAACTTCTTAATTTGATATGTATCACTTGTCTGTTTTTGTTTTTATTGTTTATGTTTCTGCTTCTATATTCAAGAAATCACTGCAAGATTGTGAGCTTTCTCCCTAACTTTCCTCTAGGACTTTTATTCCTTATATTCAAATAAAATTTGGTAATAAAGGCAAAAACACAAGTTTATCAAATTCATTATAGCACACACTCTAAGGAACCTGTCTGAAGTTGAAGTGAGGAGGGGAAATTGTTTGATCCTCATCCAAAAGATAAGAATCAAAGTCTGAAGTCTGTAGCCAACATCATACTAAATAGGGAAAACCTGAAACCATGTCCCCTAAAGTCAGGAAAAAGACAAAGGTGTCCGCTCTCTCCACTCTTATTCAACATAGTCTTGTAATTCCTAACTACAGCAATAAGACAGAAAGAAGAAATAAAAGGGATTCAAATAGAAAAGGAAGAAGTCAAGCTATCCCTATTTGCAGATGACCTGGAAAACTCCCCCAAAAAACTCATAGACATCATAAAGGGCTTCAGCAAAGTAGCAGGAAAAATAATTAATTTACAAAAATCAGTAGCCTTTCTATATACCAACAATGAACAGACTGAGAAAGAATACAGGAAAACAATTCCACTTACAATTGCCTCAAAAAATACCTGGGAATAAACTTAACAAAGGAAGTGAAAGACCTCTACAATGGAAACTATAAACCACTACAGAAGATAGAAAGATCTTCCATGCTCATGGATTGGAGGAATCAATATTGAGAAAATGGCTATACCACCTTAAGCAATCTACATATTCAATGAAATTCAGATCAAAATTCCAATAACATTCAACACAGAGATAGAAAAATCAACCTTAAAGTTCATTTGGAAGCACAAAATACTGTGAATACCTAGGGCAATACTGAGTAAAAGCTATCACAATATTCAACTTCAAACTATACTACAGAGTCATAGCAATAAAAACAGCATGATACTGGCACAAAAACAGACATGAAGATCAGTGGAACAGAATAGAAAACCCAGATATGAATCCATGCAGCTATGCCCATCCAATTTTTGACAAAGGTTCCCAAACATATAATGGAGAAAAGACAGCCTCTTCAACAAATGCTGCTGGGAAAACTGGATATCTGCATGCAGAAAACAGAAACTGCATCATGTCTTTTTCTGTACAAGTATATACTTAAAGTGGATTAGGACCTTAATATAAAACCTGAAACTTTGAAGCTAATGCAGGAAAGAGCAGGGAATACACTGGAACTAATAGGCGTGGGCAACAAGTTTCTAAATAAAACATATGTGGCTTAGCAACTAAGAGAAAGGATTAACAAATAGGACTACATGAAACTAAGAGGCTTTTACACAACAAAATAAATGGTCACCAGATTGAAGAGGCAGCCCCATAATGGGAGAAAATCTTTGCCAGCTGTACATCTGACAAGGGATTAATAACCAGAATATATAGCAAGCTCAAAAAACTAAACTCCTCCCAAATCAATGACCCAATGAAGAAATGAGAAAATGAAGTGAACAGTGTGTTTTCAAAAGAGGAAATCCAAATGGCCAAAACACACATGAATAAATTCTCATCATCCCCAGCCATAAAGGAAATGCAAATCAAAACCATGTAAAAATTCCACTCACTCCTGTTAGAATGGCTACCATCAGAACACAAATTAATGCAGAAACTTCAAAGCGATAGAGGCCAATAGGAGAAGGGGATCAGGAACTAGAGAAAAGGTCAGTTCGAGAAGAATCAACTTAGAATGTAACACATACGTACATGAAAGCAATGCTAGGAATCTCCCTGTATAGCTGTCCTTATCTCAACTAGCAAAAAGGCTTTGTCCTTCTTATTATTGTTTATACTCTCTCTTCAACAAAATTAGAAATAAGGGCAGAACAGTTTCTGCCTGGAAACGAGGGGGTGGGGCGGGGGAAGGGAAGGAGCAGGGGGAAAAGGGAGGGGACGGGAGTAAGGGGGAGAAATGACCCAAACATTGTATGTACATATGAATAAACAAAAAAAGAATGCAAACAAAAAAAACCAAAAGAACACAAACAACAACAAATGTTGTCAAGGATGTGGGGAAAAAGGAACCCTTATACACTGATGGTGGGAATGTAAACTAGTAGAACCACTATGGAAAACAGTATGGAGGCTCCTCAAAAAATCAAAAATAGAATTGCCATATGATCCAACAATACCACTTCTAGGGATGTACCCTAAGTGTAAGTCAAGACACAATAAAGACACTTGCACATTGATGTTTATTACAGCACTGTTCACAATAGTTAAACTATAGAAGCAACCCAGATGCCCTGCAACTGATGAAGAATTTTAAAGGTGTATATATATATATATATATATATATATATAGAGAGAGAGAGAGAGAGAGAGAGAATTTTATTTAGCCATGAGGAAGAATGAAACCATGAGGTTTCAAGGTAAATGAATGCAATTGGAAGATATCATGTTAAGTGAAATTGGTCAGGCTCAGAAAGACAAAGTCTGCCTGTTTTCTGTCATGTGTGGAAGATAGATGCAATACAAATATAAGCTATATAGTAGAGGGAGGATAAAAGAAGGAAGGTAAGAGGGTGAATAGACGTGATGTACTTTCTATACAAGAATGGATATAGAATTTTTAATCTGTTGAAATCACTATAAAAAGGGGATTAAGATAGAAAGGAGAAAAATAGAGGGCAATGAACCAATTTGAGTTATAGATGGAAATGTCACAAGGAAACCCCCAGTAGAGATATCCTAAACAAACAAAAATGCTTTTTTCAAAAACAGAGAACAGGAAGGTAAAACAGGTCCTGTCTGGGGGTTGGGTCCAGAGTGGGAGGGGGAAGATACAAGGAAAGGTGAAGGAGGCTGAACAAAGTTGAAATATTAGTATTCATGTATGAAAGTGGAAAAATGAGACATGTTGAAATTATTCCAGGATTGGGGAAAGATGGAGATGAAGGAAAGTGAATGAGCCAGGGAATTCAACTATGATATATTGTAAAAACTTTTGTAAATGTTACATTGTACCCATAATACAATAATAATATAATTTTAAAAAGAAAAAGAAAAAGAACTATTATCTGTTGAATACCTATTCTATATATTAACATAGTTAATTTACATTAATTAATAATTTTTAGAAGATTCTGCAAAATATTATCTCTAGTTTACATGAGAACACAATCTGAAATACAAAATTTCATTCTTAGTTGTGGCTTTTAAGCATTCAAATAAGTATTCAAAGCCATGTCAACATAACTATCATGCCATTCTGCTTCTGTTAACAATAAATTTTCTTGTAGTCCGTTAACATTTCTGGTTCAGTTCCCTGAATTTCACTTTCATTTCAAGTCCCAAACATGCAATATGCTCATGATCAAATATAAATTATGGACTGGTCATCATGAAATAAAACTATCTTTTCAACATATGGGTTTGGGAAAATTATATATCAACACTAAAAAGAATGAAATTGGATTCTTCTCTTAATCCATATTCAAAAATCAACTCAAATTAGAGTAAAGACTTAAATGTAAGATCCAAGACTATAGAACCATGAGAAAAAAACATGGGGAAAGACTTCATGACATTGGTCTTGACAATGACTTCTGGGATACAGGCTTGTGCAACAAAAGCAAATGAAATCTTCCCTGAGTTCAAACCTCAGTACCATAATTACACACAAAAGGCAAGTGAAATGAAGTTTAGTGTGGACATCCCTACTGCCTCATAGAAGAATATGAAGCCATCCTACTATTTTCTTACTGCTTTTTTATTTCACTTTCATAAGGTAGCCTAAAATAATTTCTGCTTCTTTTTTCTACATTAAAAAAATGTTATTCAAGGTAGTATGACTTCCCCCCATATGTTAGAAGTCAGTCCATTTTCAAATGTTGTGTGATGATACTATTATTTTACCACATGCAAAGTAAACTCATTAATATATCTTACAGGTTTTTCCCTTCTACTTAAATGCCTAAGGATACAGCTATATCATAGTTTTAAAAAATCTAATTTATTAGGCTAGAAATAAAATCTTCTCCCTATTTTGGGAAAGACCCTACAGCAAAATTTGGGATGATTTGTTAACTTAGACTCTAGTAAATACCTGCATTTGAATCTTGATGATGTTATTGAGTTTATATTAGAATTAGAACCTATGCATGCCCTGAGTTCTAGCTCTGCACTGCAACAGGCAGAATGAGCAATCCAGGATTCTATCCTAATTTGTGATTCTCAGATATTGTAATTGTAAATCTTTACAAAGAAATAAAACACAATCACTTCACAACCATTTGTCTTATGTCTATAAATGGTTTTTACTCCTACTCTTTCATCTGAAAACTCTGTTTTCATTTGCTTTTTGAAGTCCTATTGAGAAATTGATAGCCATGGCCCCCCAAAACTGCTGTGTCACCTTGTCTGTGAAAGTTAGCTGCTGCCTCAGCTGAATATGTCTCCCAAAGATAATGTTGATTATCTGTGACTGGCGGGATTCTGAGACTTTTTTTTCCTGGTCTTTGGCACATTCACAAAGTTTCTGACATCCCTATTTGAATTAGACTAGACAGTTCCAAGCAAACTCTCTCTCTCTCTCTTTCTTTCTGTCTCTCAAGTTTTCTTTCTTCCCAAGTTTTAAACCTTAAGGAAAGATGGAGCAACCTGCTAAGGAAACCGTGAGTACAGAATTCAATTTTCTTCAGTGCAATTTGTCACTAATATTAGGAAAATTGTCTCTTTTGAACTTTCTGTATTATCTTCAATGAGTCATTAAGAATTATTCTTATTTAACTTTTAAATGGTAGAGAATTTTAATTTTAACTCTCCTTTGGTGAATGTTTCACTTTAAACAACAACCTAGGTCTTAAGTCTATATTGCAACCAAAATTCAACAATAATTATTTAAATCAGTTCATATAGATATCAACTAGGTAAGTTGGAGAAAAATAATGTCCCAACAAGATGAGTCTCCATGGAATGATTTAATTTTGTAGCCACAGTAGTGATTGCCATCTACATAGAAGCAGTTACATTTAGGAAGAACAGAGAGACTAAAATGTGAACTCTCTGTTGACTGTTCTGAGTAAGGTAAGCAAGGTGAAACAGTGCTCAATGAAGTGAGCCCTAAGATATTTTGCTGGATGTTCTCACACACAACTTTCTACAGGAAAGGGTTCTTTCATGATGTCTGACAGTAGTATGAGGCTTTATATTCCAAAAACAAATTACTGAAACACTAATAGCTTAAAATTTGTGGCAAATAGGTAGAAGTTTGAACTTAGATTTGTAGTGTTTTTTGAATAAAGCAAAGAGTAAATAAATTCAGCAATCAATGAGCTACATTGTACATGAGCTATATAATATGAGATATATTTTTAAGTGTGAAGAAAACAAAATTTTGAAGTTTTATGTGTAATATAATTCATTAATTAGTTGCAAACCATTTCTAATTATTCATTAGATTAAGTTTGGAATGATCAGTACTTCCTAAGCCAATTTTAGCCTTTGAAGGTCATAAAAGTATACATCTTTTTTATCTAGCTGAAGTTCTGTGATTTTACTTCATGGTCAGTCCAATTTCATTCTATCAGTGGAACAATAAATATTGACACACAGCTATGTAGGCAGTTGGGAGAATATTTTGGGTGATTAAGAATTATTAGTCTAAGGAGTACCAACATATGGCTAAAAATTGTACTGTAGCCCTTCTAACAATACTCATTTAAAGGCTTAAAGATATCTAAACATAGATTTAACATGAGTAAATGCCTTGGGATATATAATAGGGTAGAATACTAAATATGTGAGAACCTGCAGTACATAAAGGCTTTATTTTTCTTTAAATTTTTTAATTGACAGATAATTATTGTACATATTGAGTGTGTTGTATTCTAAAACATGTAGAGGCTTTTTACTTACAGACTGCAGAAAGCAGTGGACCAAAGGTTTTGGAAACAGCAGAAGAAATCCAGCAGAGGCGTGAAGAAGTGTTGAATCGGTACCACAGGTTCAAGAAACGAGTTGCTGAGAGGGGTCAGAAGCTTGAAGAGTCCTATCACTACCAGGTTTTCAGGAGAGAGGCAGATGACCTGGAAAAGTGGATCATGGAGAAACTTGAGATTGCAAAGGACAAGAGCTATGAGCCAACTAACATACAGGTCACTGAGCTCCACAGGCTCCCCCAGAGCAGACCTTTTAGGGAAGGAAACAGGTTTTGCTTTATGTTAATGATGAAGGGTGGGTGTGAGAAAAGTCTGATTCTATTTAGACACAAAACAAAGTAAAATAGTGGAGTGGAACAATTAAAGAAAGTGTAAAGATGCATCTCCTCTTATAAGGAATCAAACTAAAAAAAGAAAAAAATTTTAAAGTTAGTTTGTAAAGAAATGAAAAAATAGTAGATTGTCAGTTGTTGAAAGCACAAAACTGTTTCTTATAACATTCAGAATTTGCATTTTTTTACTTTTTTAAATTGTTTTTATATTTATTCATATGTGTATACATTGTTTTGGGACACCTCTCCCTCCTGGCCTCCACCCCCCTTCCACTCTCCCTCACCCCCCATTCTCCCACCTCCCTTGCTTCCAGGCAGAGCCTGTTCTGCCCTCTTGTTCTCCAATTTTGTTGAGAAAACATAAGAGATAATAAGAAAGGCATAGCATTTTTGCTAGTTGGAGATAGAGACAGCTATATAGAGAGATTCCTAGCATTGCTTCCATGTACAAGTGTATTACAACCCACATTGGTTCATCCAAAGGGTCTAGCTGGTTAAAGGTAGGGGAATGATATAATAGAAAGATTAGGTCATCTATTAGAGACAATAACTCTAAGAAGTCTTCAACTTCTTAACCTTCAGGCTCTTCTTTGAAAAGGGAACTTATTCCAGTATTATCCCATGGTAGTTTAGTGAACAAAATAGTGATTGAAAGTTCAAGAAATCTTTGACATATCATGTGTCTTTAATACTTAGGACATTAAGTTTGGAATCATGGTAAAGAATCGTCAGTGTTTCTTAAGCAATTTTTCTCTGTTCTTCAGAACTTGGACTTTTCTTAACTTTCCTCAAATTATAATCCATGGCTCTTGTTAAATTCAAGTGAAAGGTCCCAGGAGAAGTTTTGGTAGAAATTTTTAGACCTATCTGTTAGTGTACTGTTATTGCATGTGACACAATCATGACCACAAAAAAAGGGTGCATGTGCTGATGGGGTAATTGATGTTGAACAGAAAGCACCCAGAAGAAAGGAAAAGTGATCCATAAAATCCATCAACACATACATTTCAAGAACAGAGCCCAGTATGTATTTTTAAAAACTTATTCCTATAACTATCTTCTTCCTTTCCATGCTCTATTTTCAACAGAACACAGCTACTCCTCTTTTCTGAAGAAGAACACTAGGTGTTATATGCTTTTATTCCCATGACAGTCTATGTAGTCCTTAAAATATTAGGGTGTTTACTGATAAGGTAAAGGAAAGGAAAATACCCCCGCCGTGGCCTCTGACTTTGAGCTTAGGACCCCTTGAGAACCTATGTTCAGTGGCTCTACCTTGAGTGACCATTTCTTTTAGGACATGATTGTTCTAGTTATGTCCATAGGTTGTCATTTAATTCAGGTTGGAGAGCAAGTAGTTCTGTGTGAAAGTAAAAAGAGGAACATAAAGACAACTTTATAGTTCAGGGAGACTGTGTTTCATTAACCATAAACTCTGATTTCTAAACTTCAGGGGAAATATCAGAAGCATGAATCCTTTGCAGCGGAGGTGCAAGCAAAATCAAAGGTCCTTCCTGAGCTGGAAGAAACTAGGGAAATCAGGTTTACTAAAGACCATTTTGCCCATGAGGAGACCAAGGTAAATGGATGGTAGTCTCAAGGAGAAGTTTTTAATTGTTGATTTTATTAACAGGGCTTTCATTGACTATACCAGGGAAAAAAAGAACTATAATACGGAAAATGTCTTTGGATGGTGACACATTTCTCCATGGCTTAAGATCAAACACACTTCAACCTGTTACACATTTCTCAGATGAAACAGCTTTTCCAAGGGTCTTCTTAAATATTATTTCTTCTGACTTCAGTGTTCTTTTTTTTTTTAATTCTTCAAACAAGTAATGTTCACCCATTTGAATCTTCTCTGAACTCTTTTCCCCTTTGCCTATGAAGGCTGTTTCCTTCACACACCACACTATGACTACTATTACAATTTTCCAAACTCTCTTTTCTCTTACAGGAAACCCCTAAAATCTCCCATCTTCAGGAAATCTTCCTTGAACACCCAGAACTAAAAATCACAGTCATTTCAATAAGCATTTTTACCACTCTGTACCTATTTTTAATGTATTAGGGATTTGCTGATTTAACTCATATTCTCTCTTCCAAATGTTTGTATTGATATCATCAGTTCAAGATCTTTTATGTGTGAGTGAACTTTTTACTGTTTATGTATTTTTCAGTTATTGTGACAAATTTGCATTATCTATTTTAAAATCGGGACTTTTCTTTCTATATGCAGCATAAAAATTCTAGCTCATTTTATTATTAGCAAAGCATGATCAGGAAACGTGGACTTTATTCAGAAAAGAATCTTTTTAATAGAAATAAGAGCTCAAAAAAACTAAAAACTTACTCATCTATATAAAAGTAATTTGAAATTACTCAGTTTTGTGTGTAACTAATCACTTATATTAATTAAAATATTTGAGAAACGTTTAAAACCTTTTCCATATGTCAGAATCACTAGGACTGTATTGGACAGCACCATGGCAGAGTAGAGAGAAATGTGATCCATATGGAACCTTGGACAATGAAGTAGTTGAAAATATGATTCTTGAAGATGGGACACAGATGATAACTTCAGTTTCACAAGATACACACACAAATGTTCTGAGATAATCTGGCATTTAAAACCCTCTCTATAAGTCTGAAACTATATAGTCCCAAATATTGTTTTAGTGCCACCAATTTCCAGGGACTCAGCAAAATTTTAGCTTTTATACTGTCTAGCTAACAGTTCATGTTGTTTCTTTTATGGCATTGGCATGACCATTACTCTGTGTCTATCACCCACCTGTGAAAAATCTTTCCTTAGGCTTCGTTCAAATGAGTACTCTTCCATGCATCATCCTTCTCCCACCCACTTACAGCTTATGTTTTTTCCATCCTTTAAAGTCTTAAAGCATTTACACAAAATTTTCTCTCATAGAAAATCATACTCAGTTTACCTTAATAGCTATTTTCATATATATTTAATTTCTTTCTTTAGATAATTGTTGAGCAAATAATGCACAAATGAATGGGAGGAGGAGTTTTTAATACAGGCTTTTTTCTGCACAAGTCTGTGAGTCTGTACCTCCTTCATAGCCTCTGTTCCTGAGCAGTTATCTCTCTCTCTCTCCTAAAGATCCATCTGGAGGAACTGCATCACCTGTGGGACCTACTGCAGGAGCTTACTGAGGAGAAGGGTGACCTGCTGCGGCGGGCTCTGAGGTTCTATCAGTATGCACAGGACTGTGAAGACATCTTGGAGTGGATCAAAGACAAAGTATGAAACAGCACTTACATAGGGCCTCTGATCTTTCATTCCCAAACACTCCACAGCCACTTTCTGCAGATTACTCACAATGAAGTCCAGATGTCTATTCCTGGACTTTACTTTTTAGAAGAAGGAGGACTTTTGGCAAAGATTTAAGGGAATTATGGAGATTAACAATGTAGAGGGCAAGCCTAAACCCATGGAACTGAATATGGAGAAGACAAACTTATATAAAAAGCATGCTTTGAAATATGATCAAGGTTCGTCCCCCCTCCACCTCCCATGTTCTTTAATTCCTTCTCCTAGGTTTTCATCATACTTTGGGGCCTGACTAAAAATATTTCCAGGTCTTTTTCTAATTCTTTGTCTCTCAGTACCTAGATCATGTTTTTAAAAAATTCTTTTCTAAATGCTAAAATTTAAATTTTTCTAAATACTGAAGATTTACACAAGTACATAGCACAAAACACTACTAGAATATAACCAGAATGAATTGACTCCTCATCTTTCAAAACATAAAAAGGCTATTTCAGGGGCTTTGGTTAACATTGTCTCTGATCTCACTGAAGGATTTCTCCAAAGAACACCATCACAGGGCCACCATCTCAAGAAACATACTCCTACTTCTGGCTTTTCCCATGAAAACTTTTCCAGGCTCCCCTAGTATCTGCATCTGGGAATGCAAACAGAGGTTTGAGGCTTTTGCCTGAAGGAAGTCCTCAATATTTACTGGTGAATTGGTATACTTTTCTGCATCTACAGGAGGCTATAGTGACATTAGTAGAGCTGGGTGAGGACTGGGAACGTACCGAAGTTCTGCATAAGAAGTTTGAAGAGTTCCAGGAAGAACTGACAGTTCGTAAAGGGAGAGTGGACAAAGTGAACCAGTATGCCAATGAGTGTGCTGAGGTGAGGTGGGAATAAAAGAGTCATTATATGGAAAGGTTCCTGATCTTCAAGAAAAACTTTTGGTCACTAGTAGGTGGATATGAGGTAAATGGGACATTGCCAGAAAACAGGGATGCATGTCCCTAAAATAACATGCAGTGAGCAATTTCCTTGCCCCTCCAATTCCACTCACCCCTATCAGCCCACAGAAAGAGGGATAGCTGTGTGTGTATGTGTGTATGTGTGTGTGTGTATGTAGTCATGCTCACATATAATAAATTATATACATGTGTATGTGTGTATACTTGAAATAAGTAAATACGATTTGCCTATTTCATTTTTCCACTTTATGATTTCATGATGATTGCAGTTCTGTATTGAGAATATTAACATCTCTGTGTTAGTTGAATGAATATTAAGATAAATGGGTGAGAGAAGGGAAAATAAGTATTTTTCCAAATTATTATCCAAGTCATGTGTCTAATAGTCCCTATATGTCCTCCCTCTACCACTTTTTTCTTGTTGTGAAGGCTTCTCATTTATCCATAACTTTTAAACAACCCACCACAAAACTTTGAACAACAACCACTTTTGTTCATGACTCAGTGAGTTACATAGTTGAGCTGAGTAGTTGGGCCTCTCTCTTGGTAGCACCTGATATTTTCATGTGACTGCAGTTAGTTATGGTTCAGTTGGGGTGGAAGGCCTAAGATGACCTCAGCTCCATATCTGGGGCCTTGGCAAAGATAATGAAGGCTTTCTCCCTGTGGTATCTTGCAGTCTCTTCCCCTTCTGTATACCTGCCTCTTAAATGCCAGTGTTCCAACAAGGTCAGAACAGGCACCAAAAGGCTTCTTGAGCCCAAGGTGCTGGAACTCACAGAAAATTAATTTTTGTTACCTATTATAAAGCAAGAAAAAGGCTGTCCTGAAGCAAAGACATGAGGATACCACCCCAATGTCTTTGAGGGAGAAGTAGCAAAATGGCATGACTCTTTTTTTTCCCAATATACCACAGAAAAGATGAACCCAACGTAATTAGAATGTATCTTTTGTTCTTCTGAGGTAGGGCCTAACCACTATAATAGAAAAGACCATAAACTCAAGAAGGAGAATGTAGACAGTTCTGTCTGAAGAGGTTTGGGAATGGTAATGGAAATGGGAAGAAATGGGGACTTGAGTAGAGAGAATTGGGCATATGAGAACTTCTCAAAATTGTGAAGTGTCAAAACAGGCTGATACTGCTAGATTAAGTAGTCATAGAACTCATTGCTTCAGGTGGTTTGCACAATGCCTGAAATTTTCTTAAAAATCATGTGTGTATGCATGTATACATAATTATGGGTATAGAAAAATAGCTTTCATTAGATTATCAAAGCTATCAAGATCACAAAAATGTTAAGAACCACTGTACTTGCATTTTGAAAAATTAAGTCATATTTCACAAAGAAAAATTTCTCTTCCTTGGTTTCAAATTTTGAGGGGATTTGACAGGCATTAATATGGTGCAGCTCTATGTAAGACAGTGAAATCTCTATGAGTAGGTTATTCCAATGCAAAGGATACAATGTCTGGAAGGTTGGTTTTCTAGGTTTTAGTGATACAGATCAGATGAGCTACGGTGAAGTTCAGTATCTGGTTACTATGGTCATCCCTTGCCTCTGACAAAGTATATACACTGTGGACTTAAGTTTTTAAATGATTGTTTATGTAACTTCACCTTTGTATAACTTCAGTGTTGGCTTCCTTTCTAGGAGAACCATCCTAAATTGCCTTTGATAAAGTCAAAGCAGGATGAGGTAAATACTGCCTGGGAGCATCTCTGTAATCTAGCTCTCCAGAGACAGCAAACTCTGACCAGTGCTGCAGAACTGCAGAGGTTCAAAAGGTATGGACATGCTATACAGAAAACTGGAATAATATCACCTTCTTTCTTCCCTTCCTCCCTCCCTCCCTTCCTTCCTTTTTAATTTTCTTTCACTTTCTTTTTTTAGTACTGGAGTTTTAACTCAGGGCCTCAGGCAAGCACTCTATTACTTGAGCCACATCCCCAACCATTTTTGCTTTAGGGTCTTGCACTTTTGCTCCAGCTAGCCTCAGACATTACCCTCCTACTTCTGCCCCTTCCCAGTAGCAGGGATTGTAGAGATGAACAACCATGCCCAGCTATGCCTGTTAGCGTGTCTACTCCTCTTAGCAAGTAATGGTCAATAACTTAGCCTAAAGAGCATCATTTGCTTGCCTTTGAGACAGCAAGGGATTTAAGAAAGCTGAGACTTACTCTATAGTAAATGAAGGTTGGAAGTCAGAGCAACACAGAATAAATAGCATTGGTCTATTAGTGATGAAATATCTACAAAAGCAAGGAAAATAATTAAGAACTTAATGTGAAGAATAGGAGAAAATGGACATTCATGAATAACTGACTCAGATATGGGAAGTATCTCTGGAGGTTCAGCTGCCAGGAGATCTAGATCCCTAACATTTACATAAAAACAACTAATAATCAAGAAACTTTCTAGTTAATATTTACTAGTATGTAGGAGAGTAGGGTAATTTCTACATGGGTTGAGTAGATTGGTCCTCATGCTACTTGGGTGAACTAGCTGGTCCTTGCTGTGTGCTCTGTTGCTTTGTTTACCCTGTCATTCTTGCCACATTGTTTTCTTGGATTTATGTTTATGTTTGGTAGGGATGTGACTGAAGACATACAGTGGATGAAGGAGAAAGAACCTGTACTGGCCTCTGAGGACTATGGCAAAGATCTTTTTACTTCTGAAGCCCTGTTTCACACTCACAAGGGACTTGAGAGGAACCTTGCAGTCATGCAGGACAAGGTAAGATACTGATGGAGGAATAGCTGACTTCTGGAATTAAACAAAGTTATATGGTAGTCATCTTGCCTAGCCACATGCTTCCAGAAGATGCAATAAATTCACTATTTACAATGAAAAACAAATTCTCTGATACTTGAATCTATTTCCTTATTCTAATTCATACTTGTTCACTGATACTGAATAATCCTTATTTTTATTCAAACCATTTTTATTTAAATATGCATATATGACTTATAGTATCTTGTGTTTGTAATATATTTTACAATTAAAAGCAAAAAGATAGCTCTGAAGATAGATCCCTAATCTCCTTCAGCAAAATATCCTTGTTCAGAATTTTTTATCTCAGAATGTTTTCTCCTGTTGCAGTTGAATCATGTTTGTTTTTGTCCTTTAGAGAGAAGCATTTTCTTCTCCTTTTGTACTGAACTATAAGACACTTAGAGTTAAATATACCTTTAGGCTGTCTTCTGAAAACTCTACTTCCTATGTCTAGAGAAGATACTGTTACAATAGAACTTGGAGCAAGGCTATATCTTCAAATAATTCTCATCTATTTGTTTTCCTCACAACTTTAGCCACAGTTTAAGTTAATTACTGCTTCTTGTCCACTTTGGAATCAGCCCACATAAGTTCACGAACTGTCACCACTTTATTCCTTTTTTTTCATTTAATAAATAGTTAAATTTCAGGATTTGATGAATAATGATTAAAAAAATGCCAGACTGTCTGCAATATTTGATTATAACTGAGTGTAATGAAAGAGCTAATGGTAATATGTGGAAAGTTATCCATATCCACTTTTTGTAATAGTAATCTTTCTCTTTGGGAATTCTGTTTAAATTGGTCTGCTGTTACTGCAATTTTATTGCCTTTTTTTAGCAAAAATATTTGTCTGACTCCTACAATAACATTAAGGAAAATGATACAGAGCAGGTGGTATGGAACAGACTTAGGTCTACACCTTATTTCTAACACTAGCTGAATGACTTTGAAAAGTAAAACACAACCTCTCTGTTGTCACATAAAAGGGAAATAAGAATAGTTTCTACCTCATGGTATTATTAAATAAAGTATGCAAAATGAAAAAAATGCATTCACAGTGCTAAACACAAGAGGATATAAAAAGTACTCAATAAATTATTAGTACAGTGTATTGGCATTTTAGTGAATGTATGTCAATATAAATACATATATCAATTATTATAGCTTATGTGATTGCTTTATTATATGCCTTCCATAAAACTTTGCCAAGAGTCAGAGTCCTTGGACTTTCCAATAGGTGTCTTTCTCATTCCAAAGGTAAAAGAGTTATGTGCCAAAGCAGACAAGCTGATGACTTCCCATCCTTTGGATGCACCTCAGATTCAGCAGATGAAAGAGGATCTGGTCTCCAACTGGGACCACGTTCGTGCTTTGGCTACTACCCGATATGCAAAACTACAGGCTTCTTATTGGTAGGAAATCCCTCCTCCTTGCTTCTCTACCTGCCTCTGTAGTGTCCCAACGCAGAAAAAGGGTGTATGGGGTAAAACAACAAGGAAGTTAGTTCTTTGTGGAAGCAAATAAAGTTTTAATTTGCTAAGGGGAGTCTTGTAGACTGATGTGATACTCAGAACCATACTCCACTCACACAGATACTCCGGTCTTTCCTTGTTTGTGTAGTTGTAGGCTATTTAAAGTGGTATATAATGTTAGAAAAATTCTGGTTCTCACTAAGGAGTTTAAATTAGTTTTCAAGCTGCAGAGGATCAAAATAAGTTTAGAATTATCTCTTAGCTGTAGGTTAAAAGCTTACGAGAACTGATTATCAGGCATTATTTTAGCAGTTGATTTTTATAGTTAGTAGTTATGGTAGTGTTCATCTTTTTGTTATGAAATAAAGCCAAACAGTGAACATTTGATTTTTTGGAATAAGGTACTGTTTTCTTCAGTTTTTATTTTTTATTAAGAGTTAATGTAAGATACACAAGGAAATCCTAATTCTAGCCCCTTTTCCTATGGAATGCTTTCTGTAATTTATAAGGCATGTATTTTACTTATTGGCTGCATTGTGAATATTTTAGTCTATCTACAGTTCCTCTGGGGTAGGTCTGACCTACCTCAGAATTATAGTGATGGAGTTATAACGCCCACGCACTGTGTCACCCAGTTGCACATCTGTGTAGGATAAACAACCTGGTATGAAGGTTTTATAACCTGAACTATGAAAGTGACTCTGTAAATAATAGGGGGAAAGGATGGGAAGGAATAATACTAGGGTAAGGACACCCCACATATATTAGCTCACCCAACTTTAGCTCTTTGCTCAATGTCCTCCGAAATCTGGTTCCTCTTTCCTTTCCTTTGCCTCACATTTCCCACAGGTACCATCGGTTCTTATCTGACTATGATGAGCTCACAGGCTGGATGAATGAAAAGACTGCTCTCATCAGTGCTGATGAGCTGCCAACAGATGTTGCTAGTGGGGAAGCCCTACTAGCCAGGCACCAGCAACATAAGGTAGAAAGCAAAGGCCTCCCTGGTAGGAGGGAAAAAGGGGATTGGTTCAGTGCCAAGAAAGCCAGGTTACTTGCTGCATTTGAGACATTTTGTTTTGTGATCACAGCATGAAATTGACTCTTATGATGACCGATTTCAATCTGCTGATACAATTGGTCAAGACCTTCTGGATGGCAATCATGAAGCTTCTGATGAAATTCGGGAAAAGGTACTTAGTTTAACAGGGCTGAGGAAAGTTTGATTACATATGTACCCCTTACTTAATCTCATGCTGTTATGATAATCTCTGATTTGGAAGGGAATAAAAGTCATCTAAACATGACCATAATATGGACCTGACTTTTGCACTGCTCCCTTTCACATGGCTTTAGCTAAAGTGAGTCACTTGAAATACTCAGAACATGAGTGCTTGCCATTGATCCTTTATCTCATCAACTCTTTGACATCTACCTAATTTGAAACTCCATACCATTTTGCCTTGTTACATATTCATTTTTTTATTATCACATTCCCATAATCATCTCTAGATTGTAAATTCAATGTGTCTTATTAAACTCTTGGTCCCCTAGAGTGCCTAGACATGGTTGACACCTGGACCACTTCTTCTCTCCTCTGCACAATCTCAACCAAGGCTGATTTTTTTCATGTTTTTTTCATTATTATTATTTTACAAGCTCAGAACTCCACTAATAAAATCTGGTTTCCATCATTGCAACTTCCTGGATGACAAAGGTTTATCTTAGGCCCCTGGCTCCAGTCATAGAATTTAGGCAATCCTTGAACTAATAATCTCCATAAGGCTTGCATGGTTCTTTTCATCTCCCTAAATTCAGTCACAGCTTTCAGTTCTGTGAGATGGCTGAGGTTAGAGCTACCATATTTTGAATTGCCCAGAACTCTATGGGAACATTGTAATGTTGATTATTTTCTATGACAGATCCCTAAATCCTTGAAAATTGAGCTATTGTCTTGGAATTCTGAGAAGTTCTACTGCTTTTTTGATGGAATTAATAGCAACAGCTATAATATTCTGGAATTCATCAGGCAGATCCTTGGTCAGAAACAAAGCTATTTTTCCTGGGCTTAAGAATGTGCTTTTCTTCTTTCCTTGATCTTTTTTTTTTCCCCAGAGCACAATACAAATTCTCAGTCTGACATTTTATAAACTCTAGAAACTTGAACTTCATCAGACTCATTTCTAGGCACTATGTTGTATAGAACACATTGTATCCTTTCTTCCTTGTTTATGTGTATAAAAAAATCTTGTGTCTTTCTATGCACATACACTTATTATTTTTTTATAGCATTACAATTATTTCTTAGATATTGGAAACTTAAGGGAAAAAAAGCTCATTATCTACTTATTTTTGGATCTTTCAAAAGGTCAAAATTTTGCATTTATTAGCAGCTCAGAAAATACAGGATAAAATAAATTAATTACTTCTTCCTTCTCAAAGATGACAACCCTTGCCAATGATTGGGCTGCCCTGCTGGAACTGTGGGACAGACGGCAGCATCAGTACCAGCAGTGCTTGGATTTTCACCTCTTCTACAGAGACAGCGAACAAGTAGATAGTTGGATGAGTAGACAAGAGGTAACATGAGTGCTATAGTTTGAATATGAAATCTCTCTCCAAAAGCCCCAGGTGTTGGGGGCTTGACTGGCACCTGGTGGCACTATTTTGAGAGGCTCTGGACACATTTAAATGTGCTTCCTTTAGCTGGAAGAAATAGATCACTGTGGGCAGATACATGGGGGTCTCTTGTCCTGGACCCTTTCCTATCTTTTTCTCTACTTCCTGTCTACAGTGAAGTGAACACTCTATTCCTTCACACTCTTTTGCCATCATGATGTTCGGCCCAAGCACTTGGGACCAAGCAACCATGGACTGAGTCTTCTGAAACCTTGAGCCTAAATAAATTATTTCTCCTTTAAGTTGTTGTCTCAAGTATTTTGATCACAGCAACAAGTAGCTAATACAAGAGGGGTCCAGCAAGTCTTCAGAAATCACTTCTGCTACCCTTCATGTACCACCATTACTGTTATCAGCACCCTCACAACCACTTTTTTGGAACAAAGCTTGTCCTGGAAACTGGAGGGTGATCCATGACAAAAAGTAAGCAGAGGCTGCTCTATAAGACTCCTACAATCCCTTCATGAGAAAACACATAGAAAAATATTTAAGTATAAGGGTGTTGTGGTGCTATACACCTGTAAAACAGCACTTGAGAAGCTGAGGCAGGAAGATTGAAACCTCAAGGCCATCCTGGGCTACCTAATGATACTCTGTCTTAAAACATCATGTTGAATTAAATACATAGCACAGAAATTTTATCCTCAATTAAACATAAGGCAAAATCATATCAAATTGGTAAGGATCAGGAGGAAAAAAATTGTGATGAGTCAAGCAAGGAAAGGAGAAGGAGTCAGAGGAGATTTCCTGGAGGAGGTGAGGTGAGGGGTACTCTTCAGGCAGTTTTAAGGACTCAGGATTATGCCTAGACTGGGTGAGAGAATTCTATGTGGATAGACATGGAGATACAGGTGATAAAATTATGTGAGAGCATTGGGAAGGAAATCTGAAGCTCAATCTATTTGAGGTTGGTTTCTACTATCCTATGCTGCTCTTCAAATCCCTTGCCTCTTTCTATAGTTCTTGTCTCAGAGATATTCTATAAGGAACATTTCTACCCAATAAAGACATGTGGGAATCTATCTTTCTGTCTTCTACAGGCATTCCTGGAAAATGAGGACCTGGGAAACTCAGTGGGCAGTGTAGAAGTCCTACTTCAGAAGCACGATGACTTTGAGGAAGCCTTTACTGCCCAGGAAGAGAAGATCATAGTAAGAAAGAGGCCCTGGTTGGGCATATGCCTCCTGTTTGCATACATCATTTCATTCAATATGCATCCCTACAGAGAATCACTCACTTCTGTGACTATCAGACGAGCATGAAGATTATTCATGATAAAGCAACCCCCCACTTTGTTGTTCATAATATTTACTCGTATGTTTTTAAAAATTCTTTGTTATTGGTTTTATAAACATATGGAATATTTATATAATGTGAAAGCCAAAACTTAATAAATATTTATCTGTTGAAAAAAGGAGGGAACATCCAGTTAAACTAAAATACTCATTTTTATCAATACATTCAATAGGCTTTACACAAAATACTTAGAAAAATTTTCAAAATGGTAGGCCATTATTTCTTTTGATAAACTACATGTGTCTTATTTTTTTCAGTATAAATTAAAAACTATTGGGTCCAAATTCAATATCATCACTTAATATTTGAAATATAATTAAAATTTTTTTCTTTCTAATAATATCTTAATATTTCTCTTTAGTTGTGGCATTTAGACATCTAAGCAATATCTACTATTTTAATTTCTGGTATTTTTTCCTTTGCATGTCTTCACCTTTGTTTTTCTCATCTAATGATACTACAGAGATTTTCTGTGAACCTTAGGGTTTTCTTTGAATAATTTCCCAGAAAACTAGTCAATATATGAGCAGGATTCAAAACAAAGAGGAAGACTCCAGGGGCTGAATCCTAGGATGGTATTCGCTTTAAATACAGTAAATACACACACACACATACACACACCCCATCATAATCATCACCATCACCACCTACAGCATAGAAGATGAAAATCAAATTTCAAGTCTTCCCTGTTGATCAGTATGATGCTTAATATAATCCCTTATTAATCCTTATGCTTGTTCTATTGATTCTAATTACTAACAGTATAAAATCATTTACTTTCATAGTATCATTATTTGTTTTAGATCCTTTTTCTGTTCCAGTCAATTAATTCAGTCTGAGATCTAGCAACTTGGGAGATTTATGAACGAGTATGGGTAAAGATTCGCCTGTACACTTTCTGACTCCTCTCTCCCATAAAGCTGGAGAGAGAGATGATAGAAGTAGCTTTTCTTTCTTTCTTTCTTTCTTTCTTTCTTTCTTTCTTTCTTTCTTTCTTTCTTTCTTTCTTTCTTTCTTTCTTTCTTTCTTTCCTTCTTCCTTTCTTTGTCTCTTTCTCTATATATATCATATACACACATACATAATATATATGGTATATTAGGGAGAGAGACAGAGACTGGAGTCCTGTGAGAGAGTGAGAATGAGACTAACCAGTGGGCAGGGCTATACATTGACAATGCTTCCTCTTGATGATTTAAGAACAGATTAAATATTCATCTGAATTCATAACTGTAATCTTGATTAAAAAATACTGTGGCATAGACAAGGTAATTGACCTATGTTGATGTATATTAAATACAATTTATAAGAGGAATCAGAAAGAAGACTAGGTCTGCTGACTCTCATTGTCATCTTCCCACATTGCTATGCTTCATCTTTGAAAAACTACTCAAACTGAGACCACTCACTCAGTGGTTACTGAAGAAAAAAATCGCTCTATTTTTTAGACCCTGGATGAAACTGCAACCAAACTCATTGACAATGATCATTATGATTCAGAGAATATTGCTGCAATTCGTGATGGGGTATGTTCATGAGCCCTGAGTGTCTACCTACCTATGCATTGGGATCAGGAAGTGTTGGGAGCATAGTGGTCCTGGGATGCAGTAAATCTTGTGTATGAGTTTGCATGTGGTTTTTGCAGTTATTGGCCCGGCGGGATGCCCTACGTGAAAGGGCTGTAACTCGACGCAAGTTGCTGGTGGATTCATTGCTTCTGCAACAAATGTATCAAGACTCAGATGACCTAAAAACCTGGATCAACAAAAAGAAAAAGTTGGCAGATGATGAAGAGTACAAGGTAGGTTTGGTTCCTAGGTCCTGCATATACTCAACAGCTGTTAGTGTCCTGGAATTAGCATCTTGGAGTAAACAGACAGATGGTGATCCCATATATAGATGAGGAAATGGGACTTGTAAAAACAAAGGGGTCCTTAAGGGTATATACCTTGTCAAAAATCAAAAATCCAGATTCTGTAGGAAACCAGTGTAGGTTTTCCTACACTCAGTTGTCCCTCTCCCCATTCCTCTGACTAAATTTCTAGTGGTCCTTAACAGAAGGAGGTAAGGGAGGGAATGCCCTCATTTAGCTCCTTATTGTCCATTTAGTACCTCTTCTGTTCTTCTGTGTACCCCTTTTATTTGTTTGGTTTTGAGGCCCAAGCTGGCCTCAAACTTGCAATCTTCCTGCCTTAGTCTACCAAGTAGCTGTGATTATAGGTATGTAAAACCATACCTGGCTCTCCTATGTAATTTTATAGTAGGGAAATACTATGTCTTATCCCAGTGATACATTCAAATCTTTTTTGAAAGTTACTATAAATTCAAAATTAATGTAAGAATTTAGCATCATATAGATTTGCCTCAGTTTCATAGCTAGAAAGGAAAACTAGGACCAGAATTGGAAAGTGTCCAGAGTTATCCAGTTATTTAAAATGTGGTTTACTATAAAAGTTAGAAGCATGAACTCTAGAGAAGGTAAACTTGGGCTTAATTTTTTCCTTTGTACTCTCAGTTTTTCTGACCAGAAATCCCTGAGTTTTCTCTGAACCAGCAATTTCTCTTCCTTAGGGTTGTGCCAAATATATACTCTGTGCCCACAGATGTAACACAATATAAACTATTATGCACATACATATGCTATTTATAAACCTTTAGAGCTAGAATTAATCTCTGGAATTCTAAGCTCATATCTATTGAAAGTACTTACTTTTTCATATATCATTTAGTCTTAGGTGTGTACCCCTGACCCTTTTCTTATAATACAACTTTAACTATCTTAACAGTGCCTTTCATTCTGTGAAACTAAGTAACATGTGTTTGGATTGTCTTGAGAAGTTATGGTTCTAGTGTACATAACATAAGCAGATTTTCTCTATAAAGGGCAAATGGAGAATGGTTTATGTGCTAAAAGAGGAATGTAAAATAATTTTCTTCTATCATGATTGCTAATGCTTGCAAGGGATCACATTCAAAATGACTTTCAGCCATATCCATGTTTAATAGAAATAAATGCTGGAGGTGTTAACCACTGCCATTTGTATAGGAGGGAACGCTCATGTGGATTCCTAAGCACTGGAGAAGGACTTTTTTTCCTTGAGTTCTCTTCTCAGAACAGTTAGATCTATAGTGAGGGTGATATCTGTCCTCAAAATTTTTGCCCCTCATTCCTTTATCTTGCTATTTTATTTCAGGATATACAGAACTTGAGAAGCCGGGTTCAAAAGCAGAAAGACTTTGAAGAGGAGTTGGCAGCTAATGAGATCATGCTCAACAACCTAGAGAAAACCGGCCAGGAGATGGTGGAGAGCAATCACTATGCCTCTGAGGCTGTGGCTGCCCGTGTGAGTGAGGTCGGCAGCCTCTGGAAGGAGTTGTTGGAGGCAACAGCACAGAAAGGTTGGAAGCACTGGTTTTGGTGAAAGGCTAGTTAGTGTTAAATTCTGAAACCTACCGCTTCCATCTTTACAATCATGAACGTTCCTGGTGGTCTCTATGTGAAGGGATGCTACCCCTTTGTTTCCCTGTGTCTTCATTCTACTGACCAGCATTTTAAATCCAAGTTTCTTACAGTTTATATTAGCCAGATTTTGTGCTTTCTCTATAAAAATGGTCGAGTTTTGCTGTAAGCCATTTGAAAAATTCCCACATGTATGTTTAAATAGTCTCAATTATATTTTTTTTGAGTCTGACATTGCAAAATTAATCAGTTTTTTTAGTAATTATCACAGATAATGAGTTCTCTGTCAGTGCCTCCCATGTTATGAAAGCCGTATGTAGACATGACTCTGTTGTGGTTATAGAAGAAATATGTCATATTACGGAAAGAATCCATTGCTATAATAGATGTCATTGCTACTCTTCACCACCAGGAGACATAGTAATCGCTTCACAGAAATGATAAAAATAATTGTTACAAGGTCATAGGGTAAATAATTTAATCAAGCATCGTGTGAACAATCAAGAGATTTTTCTTCAAGAGGATTGGTTTGTAATAGAAGGACAGGCACTCAAAAGTGTGATAGCCAAGTTCAAAGAAAATTTAAAACTGAACCAACTCTACATTTTATGCTTTTCTTAGAAAATGTGATGTTTAAATTTGAGCAACTTTTAAAGAAAATTTTCAAAAGAGTAAAAAATAACATAAAAAATAACCAACATGATTAAACTCTGACAGAACTGTATTTCACAAGGAATGTAATTTACTGTTTACCTTTGTTTTGAGACCATTAATATATTTAAAACCGGGTACCCTCAGAATTCTAATTTAAGATGACCTCTTCTATAATGACACATAAGATAATTATTCTATTTTTCTCATTGGAATATCAAAATATCATATTGGGGGAAGTTATAATAGTGTAGTGAGAAATGGTTATAGTTATTAACTTAATGTCTAATATTTAATGTCTTCCACCAGGGACCCAGTTACATGAAGCTAACCAACAGCTACAATTTGAAAATAATGCAGAAGACCTGATGCGATGGCTGGAGGAAGTGGAGTGTCAAGTTACCTCTGAGGATTATGGGAAGGGCCTGGCTGATGTACAGAATTTACTCAGGAAACACGGCCTCCTGGAAGCGGCTGTGGTTGCTCGTCAGGTTTGTTGTTAGCTGTTTGGACAATTATAGGAAATTGGATTAATGTTCTGAGCATACGCATAATAAGTAATTATTTTTATTAAGAGAGCAAGGAATCAAAGGAGAAATATTTTAAAATTAGCTGTTAATTGCCCCTTCCAAATCTCCCCCAATTCAGTGCCTTTTGTCAGAACCTCTTGGCTTTATTGTCTTTTCTAAATACATTGTTTTCTCAACTCAGAAACCTTGGTTTGGTAGAGAACCTTGTCATTTATTGGTAGGTCATTTTACCTTCTTCTGCCTCAATAAGGTCATAGTGTTTTAGATAAAATTGCCCTTTTCCATTATAGTATTCTATGATTCATTGCTAAAAAGTCAATCTTACCAATCTTTTTTAGCTAAGAAAATTAAAATACATAGTTATTACTTTACTTTCCCAAAGTCACAGATAAAATTAACAACAGGGCTAGGACTAAGATAGAGACCAGGCTCCTGGCTTCAGGGTTATTCCCTTTAACATCCAACCAGACTGTTATTTAAAACAGATTTATCCAATAAATTTCTATATCATGCTCAGTGTGAGTTTTAGGACAATTCAGTGGAAATTTACTTCAGCTGACTTAATTTCTTATCCCAGTAATCCTACCTTTTATTTAAAATGATTCTGTTGTTCCTTAGAAAGTCCCACTAATCTGTACTCTTAAAATGCACATTTTAAATGTTTTCTGTTTGGTTACTCTGAGTGAAATAGGAAAGACAAAATAACCTACATAGAAAAAGGCTCAGTCCTTTACATAGCTTTAAGGATGACCCAATGAGATTTTAAATAAAACAAAAAGCTAGAAGTAAGATAACCATATAAAGATGGATCTGAATCTACATAGAGGTGAGTTTAGAACACATTTTTAAAGGAGGAAAAGATTTCTCTACTTTCTTGTTTAAAAATTTATTTTTCTGTTCAAAAGTAAATAAAAAAGGACAATTTGAAGAAGATGAACAACATACGTGAACATTCAAGAACAGGTGTATGATACCCTATTGGGGAAAATTAGAGCATCTGATAATCAGGAATTGATAGACGTACATGCTAAGAAATGAGGCCTGAAAGTAAATTTTTGTGTAGAATGTTAAATTTGCAAAATATCTTCAGTGTTTTTAATCCCAAGTGTTCATTACATAAGTGAGTTCATTAAAACATGTGAATGAGCTTTCCAAAGATCAAATTGTTAGTCAAGAACAGAAACTAGGTCTCTTATCTCCCTACCCTGGAGCACCTTGGACTACATTATTTATTTTCAAAGAGTATAGTGACATCCCAATAATGATGATGATAATATTTGAAAATCACTCTATTATACTATGATGTTATACTATGATGTTCAAGTCATCCTAAGGAAAAAGAAAACTAGTGAGAGATTTTATTTTAATTCATTATGGATTCTTTAATTCTTTATGAAGAAGGGAATGCATGTTTTAAGAAGTTATTGATAGTAAAATTTTGTTCTAAATTGAGGACAGATTGTTCAAACCCTTTATAATTTCATCTCTGGATGAAAAAATAAAATAAAACTAATACATGATCTTTCTCTGTTTCTTGATGAACTTCTGCTACATACTACACCCCCTCCTCAATAACAACAAACAAACAAAAATAATGTACACCATGTTTCTACCAGGTCTCACTAATGAAGATGGAATTCACCTAGTATTTATTTTAACATAAAGGCATGCAAATAGAATCTTATTCGTAGGAAGATCCTTCAAAATCCTGTATATGTATCCCTTTCTACAGACATGACCCAAAAGGGGAGAACTATTATGTAGATGGTCATTGCATCTCTCTTTCTGAGGTTCTGAGTTTTATTTCTATAAAGTATCACTTTAACTCATAGGCATCATTGCTGTGATTTCACTATCTTAATCCCAAGAAGTTTTCATTTTCATTTGTAAATACAGTTCATTTCTAAGGGAGAGAAAGAATATGAAACACCAATAGAAAAAGCCTCCCACTTCTTCCCTTGGGTCCTCAATTTGGGTCCTCACCATTAAAGTACTGTAGTTCTGATTTGTCTGATTTCTTTGGAGCATCTTGTCCTTTCTGAATGTGACTTTCAAACTATTTCCCTGTAAAAGTACTTTTAGCATGCCAAGATGGCCATCAATGAAATGACCATTTCCACTCTCTTTCACTGATTTAAGTAGAATGTGGGAGCTGATTTTCCCATTACCCTCACCTCTTAGCACATGGATTTCCAGTTATTTCCCAATGAATTATAGTTTTCATGGCATGAATTCTATTTCTACCTCAGGATCAAGTGGACACCCTCACAGACATGGCTTCACATTTTGAAGAAATAGGCCATCCTGATTCTGGGACCATTCGTGCAAGGCAAGAATCATTGGTATCCAGGTTTGAAGCTCTGAAAGATCCACTGGCCACCCGAAAAAAGAAGCTTATTGACCTACTAAATCTGCAAAGAATTTGCAGAGATTCTGAGGATGAGGAGGCCTGGATCGAAGAGACTGAACCCTCAGCAGCTTCCACCTATCTTGGTTAGTACAGACTAAGTATGTTGGGCAATAAAGAGAGAACCAAGGTCTGCAGACTGAGTGATCTGGCATGCAGTATTAAGGGGATAGAGAGTTTGTTTTCAGTTCTTCTCTCTTAGACACACAAAAATTTGGTCAGATATTCATAATTCATAGATATTTATATATTTTAAAATTATGTCAACAAATTCACTTCATGAAACCAGACATGAGCAATGCCACAAATTTATGGCCTCTAGGAAGGTCTAGAGTGCTCAGCTTTTTGCTGTCTATTCTAAAACTTAAGTTACTGTGAAGGCTCCTGACTAAGTCATGGTTAATGCTTGACGTACCAATTATTTTTGTCTTGGTTATTGATGGTCTCTTTTTATAGCTATATAAAAGATGAAAGGATGAAGTAGTAGATATGTAGTTGTCTTACCATTTGGAAGCTATTAGTTTGTAGTCTAATCACACTGAAATATGAAAAATAAAGCACACATACATTGCACAATTTCTTGCACAGGTTTTAGAAGCATCTATAAGGGGCTGGACAATGGTAACAACAGAGGAATTACCTAGGAAAATTTCCTGGAAGAGAAAATTCCAAGGCTTATTGGAAAACTGTAGAGAGTTCATGGATAGGTATTTTGAATGGGGATACAGGGGGGAAAGTTTGGAGGGAAGAGAGGTAAAATATGATTAGGAGGTAGGGAGGGTGAAGCAGATGGTAGGGATTGGAGATCTCAGAAGATAGATAAAACTCATAGTAGTCATACTTATTGTGGGATGATAGGGTTAGGAAACAAGTAAGACCCTTTTCATTTTGGAGACAGAGTCTCATTCTATAGTTCAAGCTGCCCAAAACTTGCTGTCTCACCCAAGCTAGCCTCAAATTTGTGATCTACTGCCTCTACCTCCTGAGTCTTGGGATTACAGGCACATGCCACCCTGCCCAGCTCATGAAGTGTTTTTATAAGCTATTTCCATACTCTAGGATGATCCTAAACCTTGACATTCTTTTTCTCTGCAGGTAAGGACTTAGTTGCAGCCAAGAATCTTCTGAACAGACATGAAGTCATCCTTGCAGACATTGCCAACCATGAGCCAAGAATCCAGTTGATAACAGAGAGGGGAAACAAGATGGTACAGGAAGGTATGTGTGATTTAGATTGTGTTGGCCTAAATCACTATGCTAGACCTCTGGGAAGAAGAGTCTTAGGTCTTCTAGGGAATTAAAAAATAACTGACCTATTTTCCCACCTAGTGCAGAAATGTCCTGTGGACATTTCTCCAGTAGTAGGAGACTCCCAGATGCATGATCCATGCTTCTCTAATTTTTGTAAAGCTACAGGATTCAATATCTAACTTCCAGAGCCTTATAACCCCAACCCTTGTTGGTGCTTATAGACACATAATGACTACAAGGTCATTAGGCCTAAGACATTAGGTTCCCAATGTCTTACTAGTTTAGTAATAAAAGGATAATTTCTTTTTTGTAGTCTTATGCCTTTAAAAATATTTTTATTAATATATGATAGTTACACAGGGTTTTCACTATGACATTTCCAAACATACATTTATTTGTACCCTGGTTTGGCTCATCCCCTCTATAATCCTCCCTTTTCCCCTGTTCCTCATCTTAAAATGACTTCAACAGCTTTCAGTGTTCCATATTCATAGATGTATAGAAAGATCCTCAACCATATTAACTCTCCTTTATCCTCTTCATTTACCCCTCCCTCTTGCTATTACTCTCCCCTTAAAATGACCTGTTTTACATTCCTATTCTTTAAACTATTGTTTAAGTGTCTGTTCATTGTTCACTGGGGTTTTACCTTGGATTTTTACCTGTAAATATATTGTATTTTAATTATTCTAACCCGCCTCTATTACTCTTCCTTACCTTTTCTCCTTATTCTGTATTGTCCAAAAGTTTTCAGTGTGTTTCCTTGTGTCTTGTTCCTATGATCATGTGATACATATTTCAATATCATTCACTTTATCATTATTTTCTTCTTTTCCTCCTCCTTTGGTCTTCTCTAACCATTCCACTTTTGGAAACATGTCAGATAGGTAGTTAGATCTCTCTCTCTCTCTCTCTCTATATATATATATATATATATAGATAGATAGATAGATAGATAGATAGATATAGATATAGATATGGATATAGATAGATAGATGTATCTATC